AAACCACAAAAACATTGTGTATTTGTGAAACACTGATGCCCCCAATCGGCAACAAAGCGAAGATTAAACATTTTAAATTGAAAATTTAATATATTGGTACCCAAAGTAGGATATTCTAGCTAAATATAAAATTTTGAACTATTAAAATAGGCCAAAGTTAAAGTTTTTTTCGTAAGTTTTATTTTTAATTCTCCAAAGTGAATGTCAAATGGTCAAGGTAATTGGTATCCAATGAAAGGTATTGTCACAAAGAATGCGTATGTAAAGCATGGTTGTCCTAGCCCTAACCTTTAAAAGATATTGCAAAGGTTAAAAATTCTTAAAAGTAGGCCAAACTCCAAAGTCAAGGTCAAAAAGAGTAAAAGTTCTACATATTAAATGAATGGTCTTGTCACAAGGATTCAATATGTAAAATATGAAAGCACCACTAATCCTTACCCTTTAAAAGTTATGGTCAAGGTTTGCTCTTTAAAAGAATATCATGATAGGGGTCAAAGTTCTAAGTCTCCAATAAAGAGTCTTCTCACAAGGATTACATATGGGAAGTATGAAAGCACTCGCTCTTACCTTTCAAATGTTATGGCCAATATTAAAGTTTTTTAAGTACAGAAATCTCCAAGGTCAAAAGGTCAAAGTTGTAGGTATCCAATGAAAGGTCGTTCCACAAACAATACATATATGAAGTATATCCAATGGCCAAAGAAAAAAGAATGTTTGTTTGAAAGTCCACGAAGGTAAACAATACATATATGAAATACACAGGTGTTATATCAAAGCCATAGCTAAATCTTAATCAAAAGTTATAGGCAAGGGTAAAGTTTTGCGGACAAACAGACAGACGGACACGACATAAAATAAATACCCCCGAAACTTCGTTTACGGGGACAAAAAAAAACACCAGTCTTGTAAGAGTTTGCTATCATTTAATGAAACAGCTATTGTTTTTATTTAATTTGTCATCAATAAGATGATTTAACCTCCTTCGAAGAACAATGTTCACTTAGCCCGAATGTTGTACTCCTCGGATGTCTTAATCATCGTTTTGACTTAGCAAACAGCAATAATTGCATAATAATGACATCTATTATCTTATTATGAACTCGAATTAAGGAATTTCACTACATTTTGTTTCTCTTAATCGTAAGAAATTTTTAACAATGTATTTTTTTTCAATATGGTATTTAAAGCAATTTAGAAAAGAGAACCTTTAAATTTCCAATTTATTTAAAAGTTTTTTTTTAAAAAAAAAAGCAGTGGTATTGATGTTTTAAATATTAATAATATAAAAGTAATATTCATTTATTGAATATTTATTAATAAATTGTTAGATATAACATTACTTTTTTTGTAACAAATTCGTACACAATCGAATTCCAAACGATGAGCTATATAAGCAAAATACCATTTATATAATATAAAAAACTTTGTTTCGTGTTCTGTTTGGCTTATACCTTGCATAAATGTTCTGTTGGCATATTTCTTTCTAGCTTGTGTATTGCTTCTAAGTCTTAATAAAACTAATATAAATCATGCTTATAACAACGATTAACAGAAACGTATATTTTTACCTTGTTACAAACTAAACTTGTGTTTATTTTATTCTTGTAGATTTATGAACCATTTTCTGAAGATTGACCAATGAACTTACATGAATAATGACTGTCGATGTTAAGACTTGTGTATTCCTTTTCAACTGGGTGATTAGCCTGAGCAAGATTAAGTTCGACGTATGTCGAGCTTGAAGGTTTTGGAAGAATCATTTGCATGGCAGGTGCAGAGTCTGTATTTAGACCGGTATAAGTCTGTCCCTCATTTATATGACTAGGATTAAGTGAAGTATAAACTGAGATTGGAACGGTATAAGTCTGCCCCTCATCTTTCTGAGCAGGATTAAGTGAGGTGTATACTGAGGTTGGAACGGTATAAGTCTGTCCCTCATCTTTCTGACCAGGATTAAGTGAGGTGTATACTGAGGTTGGACCACTATAAGTCTGTCCCTCATCTTTCTGACCAGGATTAAGTGAGGTGTATTCTGAGGTTGGACGATTTGGCTGGGGTCTATTAGATTGCGCAATTTGTGTTGATTCTGTGAAGACATCATCATATTCCTTCTCAAGAGTCTCCTCTGCATACCTTGTTTTTTCTGAGGTTGACTGAGGGGGATTTTTGGGACATTTAAGATTAGCAGGCTGTCCAGGACGTTTTGATTTCCCTTTCTTTCCAGTAAAGGAGCATTCCCTTGAAAAATAAGATTTTTTTTTTTTCATGCGAAAGCTACTATAAGCCTATTAAAATTTATGACCGTAAATGAATTAAATTACAGATAATATATCTTTATATTTTTTTATTATTTTAATTGTCTTTCAGATGGTGTATGTAGTTAACAATTTTACTGAACCTTTTAAGGATATTCATGACGTGCCTGATGTACATAACTAAACTGATGACTACACCTGTTAGAATAACGCTTAATGCACCAAATAATACTGTTAAAGGTAGCAGTGTATTTCTTCTCAAATCTGGAAAATAAAATTGCAACAAATAAACACATGCAAATGTTGATCTTGCATAAAGAAAAAAGTAACTAGTAGAGAAGCTATATGTGGCATATTTGAATACGATCATTTTGTGAATGCTTCATATCGTCTATCATGCGCAAAATCTTTTCATTTCATGTTTGGCTATTAAATTTTGGTGGTCAATATACATGTATAAAACTCGTGAAAATATTTTGTAAAATGTCTTTTGCATCTAAGAGTTAATATCCTTCAGCCGGAGCCTCTTAAAGATCCTTTGAAATTTCTTCTGACCTTAAATTTGTTTTCCAATCAAAATTTTATCTTATAAATATATTATCTAAGATTTCTTTCATTTAGTTGTTATTTATAGACATTAAAATGCACAAAAAGCATATCTTGTTATATATTTTAGAGTTATATATAGCACGTACAAAACAGCAAATACTACTACACTCGTTGCAACGTTTTTAAAAATTGAGTGTTTTGTAGATTAAATTCTTAACTTAATTGAGACATGTGGAAAGCAAAACGATATATGAATTAAAAAGAAATTTTCTTGACGCATAAAAATGAACGTCATAAGATGTTTTTCAAAAGATGCACAAAAGTATATACTATATAGGCAGAATTAACGTAAAATATAGAGAATTCAGAAAGCATGATTTAAAGCAGGGATTAGCTCACTGAAATGAATAATTGATTGATTGTATGTTGTTTAAAGTCCCTCTCCAGAATTTTAATAAAAGAAATAATGCATGAAAAATATAAGCAATCAATATGTGTCTGGGTGGTTACAGAATTGATAATGCAAATTAACAGTAAAGATTAAAACATTATAAAGAGTATGAACATACATGTACTTGTTTCAAGCAGGAATTGGGTCTAGCCCAAAGTAATCCTGGAGAAGTCATTTAGTTTGACTATTAGAGGTTGACTTTATTCTGTGCAAAGCTTTACCTTACAATTTTCCAGCAATTCATATTTCAAAACAACCTACCGTCTTTGTCACATGCTCTTTCAAATGCTAAAAAGAAATTTTAACTTTAAATTTTCTTTTAAAAATCAAAATGTTTGGTGTACTTCAGATATTTTATATATGTACGGAGTGCTCAAAATCAGAAAAGACTATGTAAAAATTCAATATTTAGTTAGTGACAGGAAATGAGTTACATTTCCGCATCTTTATCTCAATTCTGAATACCGTCATCTCATTATTTTAAGACATTTTTACACACTGAAATGTAAACGGATTCTCTGTTTTTCCTGTTGATGTGAAAGAGAGAAAAAAAACAGGAGATTACTGGTCGCAGAAGATGCTTCCTCCTCGATGTTACTAAATACGTCCTTTCAATTATATGAGAGAAATCGAAACTTTCATTTCTCAGAAAATTGCAGATGTAAATATGAACCTTGAGTATTTCACAATGTGTGCAACTCAGTAGTCAAAATTACTTAAAGGGGCAGTGCCTTAACTCCCAAATTGAATAAAAACCGTGTTTTGATCAAATCAATTTACAGGTATAATCAAGAAACATTTCTTTTATTTAGTTCACATTTGAAACTTGAAAATAAAATTTTTAGAATAAAAGCATTGTATTTGAATACAAAAAATGGCATATTAGCAATTCAAAGTAACAAAAAATAATACATATAAAATCCATACCATAAACGTTCCTCGGCATAATTATTACCAGATTTGTGCATATAATGATCTTTTTCATTAGTTCCATTTTTCTGGATTCAGATATTCAATGTGGGCAAATATATCTTTACACTGTTATTATATCATCTAAATTCTTCCTTGTATGAATCACATTGCGAGGATGTAAGAAATGATCGCAGATACATGTAAGTTCGTTTTGTGAGCAAGCGCGCAATTTCAAAATCATATTTACATTATGTCCTGGAAAAAGGTCAGCAATATCTTTTAATTGTTTGTAATAGTGAAAAATGTGACACTTTTATCATTTCACATTAGAGAGCTTGCACATTAAATATGTAGTAGATATCTGTGACAACTAGAGTCCCACTTCATTTGCCACATGAATAATCACACAAACACGTGATCACGTTCTCCATAGTAAAATTTTGTATAAAAACGATGGACCAAGAAATGGCAGAAAAGATATGAAGCAACGATTGCTTGTACCCACAAACACGAAGATAAAATTTTTGAAGTGTTGACTTTAAAAGATTATGTTGAAATACTTTTAGCGCCTACTTAATGGCAGCAGGTGTAAAAGCTGATTACCTTCAGTGTATTTCGATTTCTATGGAATCAGTTCGAAGGCATAAACACCTTTTGCATAAGATATTTGTATATTGCAACAACATACATGTTACAAGAGTTGACGACGGAAAAGCTTGGAACTGAAATTGCCTTAGCGTTTATAAGTTCGGCGTACATGTAACTCATCGTTCAGAATGATATGGAGATAATAAACAGTATAAGAAAGAATGAATAATTTGACTGAATTGCAAAGTTTACTTGTCAACTTTTTCTTGACATTCCACCTCCAACGCGTGGTTTAGGTGAATTAAGGGTGCGATATCAACGAAGCGACATCAAATACATGTTAACTTCAAAACGACATCTACTATAGTAAAAACAGATTGGGGTTTTTCGTGAAAACCATTAAAAAAATAAATAATAAACCTAGAATATGTCAGGGGTGTTTGTAATTTGTTTTTACCTTTTCAGCAAGAAAAAATTATGTAATAAAGGGTATTACTTGCCACGTAAATGTACATAATAAAAATATATCTTTGCAACGTTCAGAAAGTGTTTTAAGAACAAAAAAACTTCGAGGATAATAAAAACGAACAGTATCTCCTTGTCATTTATTGGCAAAAAGATGTTTTAATTACTTATGCAATATATAAAAATCCCCATGCTCGAAATTGTTCTTTGTATGTGAGATGGAGTGAATTCACCGACAGAACAGCAAAAGAATAAAGACGCACATTGCCTCACAGAATGGATCTGAGAAGTTATAGGTTTTACTTTTTAAATTTAAAAATAGATGTAATAAACAGTCTTCAAACTCAAAGGATCATATGAAAAAAAAAACATATTAGGAGCAAAGCATAAACATATCCTTTAATCATGAGAGATGGGTTTAGGTTTTATTAACGAATACTTTAGTCAGTAAAATATGAAAACATTAGTGTCAAATGTTATGGCCAAGCAAGGTTATTTTCATTAAAAGGTGTATCGTTTTTGTAAAACTGGACTAAATTCCAAGAACAAAGTCTAATACTAGTATTGTGGTACCCTGAAAAATGTCTAGTCACAAGAAATGCACCTGTGGTATATTAATATGGTATGAGCAAGTGTGCAAGGTAAAAGTGTTGTTTTTTTTTTTCCAGACAGATCAGCAAACACAAAGAAAGACAGGCAAACATGGACAGGGCGAAAAAAAATATACACTGAATCTTCGATTAGGAAAAGCAAATATTTACTTTCTAGGCTGTAACGATATGTGTACTCCAGGCAGGGCAGTAGATACTTCCTTCCATCCATGTTCTCACTTAAAACAACGGGCTTCCGATCACTAAACGATTGCTTTTCCGGCTGATAACAAGCAACCGTCACATTTGACAAACGGAAATGTTTTGCGTTATGTTTTAAAATTATGCTCATATAATTATTGATTAATAAAGTACTACAGTATTTTCTTTTGCTTTGAGAAATCAGTTTATTTTTTATATTTCATAATAAGCCCCTTTCCTTATAATAGAATTTATAGATTTAAAACAGTGATTTTAAAAAGGAATTTTGTTTAATTTGATGACATGATAAATGTACCCTGTAACCTTTCTTTTGGAGTCAAGAGGTAAGCACTTTGAGCTTTAAGCCAACAGTGTATATTGTACCAAAGGTTACATGTTATCGATTTAAAAAAAAATTTAAAGAGTTATTACGTCATCGACTTTTGTCCTTCATCCTATCAGAGGAATAGTTCTCCTAAAGACGACTGATGGAGGTAAAGGAATTACTTGGAAATATATATTTAGATCAGTAAAAAAATATATATTGAATATATGTCAGGTTTGACTAATTATTTAGATTTATCATTAATCCAATCTAGTTGCTTTACTTGAAAAGAGAATCATTTGATGTATTTCATTGCATTGAGTTGCCGTTTTAAGGGGGGGGGGGCTATGTCGTTCTACGTCAAAGCAGCCTTATGTGACGTCACAATAGCGACATATGTTTTTTACCTTGTAGACTTTTGCAAAAGTTATTTAAGGAATGAAGCTTATTTCAACTTATATTATACGATATAACATAACTTGGGGCAATTTACGCTTTATAAACCGCGAAGCGGTTTATAAAAAAGCGTAAACTGCCACAAATTTTGTTATATCGTATAATATAAGTTGAAATAAGCTTTATTCCTTATAATTTAATTTCAGTGCAAACAATAAGACATTTTCCCCCAAGAATAGGTTTTACATTAATCAAATTTTAAAAGTAACGTCAAGCGGATTAATACGTTTTTGACGTAGCTCATTTTGACGTAGGCAAGTTATGTTATACAAAATGGATAAAATCTTTTATCCAATAAAATGACGTGTTACAAGTGAAATTAAATTATATAGGCGTAACATTGTTTATAATCAATAACATACACTATTTACAAAAAAAATTTATTCATCATTAATTAAAGTCTGATTTGATTTATAGAGTTTGTTAATATTAGAATTCTCTTCCTTTGGTTGATAATACATAGCAATTTCATTTATGAAGAAATACCTCGATGATATACTGATATATAATTGCAAAAAGATTTAAGATAAAATTCAGCAAAGAAAGCGGCTTAAATCATGGAAATATGTTTATTTTTATGTTTACCATTAATTGTATTTTCTGGATAAAACTAAGATAAAAATTACAAATGTGCTTGTACCTTTATTTGCTTATTGATTCGTAGTACATGTAGATTTTATTGTATACAGTCATTCCTAGGTTGTAGTAGGTGTTGGTTGTTGACGGGGAAATGGGGGGGGGGGTTCAGAATAGTTAGAATGAAGAAGAAAAGAATTAATCTGTTTAACTGGTTTCTAAATCAAAACAAAATACTCGTTTTTCGCAAAATAGTTATATATTTAGATGTCTGTCAGTGTAGACTTATCTTTATTTTAGTGCAGAGAGGTCAAAATTTATAACATAAGAGTATGAAAATAAGAGAAAAGTCATATTTCTCGTTTATTTTATCATAAAGGTATACTATTTTCTTTGTTAAAATAAAAAGATGAATCGTTTCTTCCAAAAAATATGAATTACGACATTTTCACACAAAGACTTTTTACGATATTGCCTGATATGCATGTCGGAATTGTAAAATCCGTTCAAGGTAGCTCAGTCGGTAGAGCGCCCGCTCCGTGATCGGGAGGTCGTGAGTTCGTATCACGGCCACGACTGACCCAGTCGATAAAATGGGTAGCAACTGTTCCTTCGCCATGCGCTCGGCACTTTGAAGTGAAAGTTGCGGGTCCTTCGGATGAGACCTTAAAACCCGAGACCCCGTGTCAGCGGCAGGCGTTGGCACGATAAAGATCCCTCACTGCTCAATGGCCCTGAGTGCTGAGTAAAAGTCAAAATTTGAAGCCCTTCACCGACATACGGTGACGTCTCCATATAAGTGAAAAAATTCTCGAGAGGGACGTTAAACAATATACAATCAATCAATCAATCGGAATTGTAAAAAATACGACAAGAAAAACGGGGTGGCACTTACATTGTGCGCCTTCATAATTTTTCATGCGAAATAAATTTCAATGGGTTTGCCCTCATTTTAAAGATACAGGTCATATAAATTGAATACATGTTGATTCCGAATGTGATTTGACATTTTTGATTCTTTTTAGCGCATACTTGGAGTAGAACAAGAATGTCTGAAAATAATCTATTTTTAGTATCTTACACTGTTTTTGTACAAGCACTGTGTAAAAATAAGCATATAAAGGTATTTTTTTAATACCTAAAAATTAAGAGCAAGTGGTCAAGAAAGAAATGTCAAAGTTTTGAAAATTTCACACAAAGCCTTTTCAGCCATAGGTCCCCCCTTAAAATGACAATTTAAAGTTTATCAAATAAGCTAAGTAGTGTCATTTACAATTGAATTACATATGTATGACTTCAAATAATTCAAATAAAATAAAATAATCTTAAAACAAGCGTTAACAATAAGAAATAAAGAAGAAGTAAAAAGCACTTCAGTGAACTTTTATTTTTTTATTCAAATATACATCCTCCTATTAAACAGCTACTTCAGTTTGAGATAAATCATCTTAAAACTAAATTAGTTCCCATACCTCTAAAAAGGATATGAACAAGTGTGTTAGAAAGACGAATACACACAAGTCCTCAAATGCGTCAAACTGAGTTTTAAATTCGGTAAGAGGTATGATAAATTGGTAATTATGAAAAAAAGGAAAAACCTTATAATCATATTCTTTTGTGTTTTATCTGCTAAAAAACCTGACTGCAAATTCACGTTAGGGACATTCTTACATGTAGCCAAAACATTTAATCATTTTTAATATGGGTTTATTTTTCATGTCAATTACACCTTTTATTCGCTTATCCGTGATTTTGCTGTACAACATTGAACAACTACCACCTGGTGAGTCATACTTTTAAAAAACTTTGCTAGTTATTAATTCTGCAGCTCTATTATAGATGAGAGATTTATTAATTAGTAATATTTATTTACATTGTGCATAAAATATGTGAAGATAACGAACGGAAATCAAGCTCAGATTCCATTAAAGAATACAAAATTGGACCAAAACACGGATTGACAATAAATCAGATATGGGAACAAGTGTCTTGGAGATGTGAGCATCCCTTGCCGACTATCAAAGCCGTCATGTGCTCTTTCTTATGATCATTAAAAATCAGTCGAAATTCAGTGTGTATATAATAGCCTTACAATAAGTATGAAAAATGTCCGTAAGCACTAGGTCTTCACTTTATGATGTAACTCATTTGAGATATTTACCATTAGAATTGTTTTCAGTTCAAATTGTACTTCACATGTTAAGCACCATCAATTAAATCGATTGTGTTAATCTATATAATTATGAGATCTGCATATTATTTTTCCATATATAAGATGTAATTAAATGCACTGTTGCTGCCTTCTGGTATTTGAAGATGTTCATCTTACAATCCTTTTTATTTTTAGCTTCCAGTACAGTAGAGATTGTAAGCTGCAATGGCAAAGCGAGATTAGGATCTGTGATCTACTTTAATTACCAGAAAATGGACATGGAGTGCAACTGTTTGATTAAACCTCAATTTTCGGGGACATTACAGTTTGCATCCGATGCTATTAAATTCAAATGCCATATGAAAGTCGATATTTTCGACCACAAAAGGCCCAATCATTTGGTAAATCTCCCTTGTGGAAATGGTAGAACATCAGTAACTTTTAATGTTACTTACGACGATACCTTTCAGCTGATATCCCAACCTGTCAACTTGACAACTGGAACGTTTCATCAACCTATCTACGTTTTTGAGGGTCTTTAAATTCAAATGTCGATACTTGTTTAAAAGAAACAAAGTGAAAATTACTCTTTTTTTCACATACAGTTCATTTAAAAAGCTTTCAAATTTCAAGTTATATTTTAATTTACTTCTTTCAGAGGCCACATTTAACGGAACTATTTCTGTGTCTTGTGGAATTCAGAAATCGTCCACTAGCATAACAGTCTTGAAGGATGAACTTATCAATACTTCAACTGCTACCAATTCAGCAGATAAAAGATGTATTAATTCAAGTAGGTTCATGTTTATGTATTAAAACACTGACGAATGCTTCCACGAATTTATTTTTCATAAAATAATTAACTCTGACTGAAAAAATATTCATTTACTGCATATATCAAATCGTACTGGGTAAAAACATTAAGCTTCAAGTCGGTTTTAATTCTTTTGTGTAGCCTTTGAGCATAAATACTTCTGACAATTTGCACATAAAAGCATATATCTTATTTTTATATTAACAAATATGTTGGACTACAGAGTGTGATGAGATTCCAAATTCCGACGATCACGCCGAAGTCCGATGGTTTGACACGCCAAAGTCCGATAATGCGGAAAGTAATAATCTTTTATACGTCACAGTATTACTGCGCCAATTTTTATGCGATGCTGTGCCATGAGAAGGTCGGATAGTCTTTATAAGAAACAAATATCAAATGCAAATACTTATCCTCATCTCTTTGATGTAACAAATGTAAACTAACTGCCGTATAATGTGTAATTTTTACTGCTGTAAATTTTTACGAATTTTGGTCAAGAAAGGGTGCTTTAAATTTTTACGCGCTAATTTTTTTACAAATTGAACATGTCCGTAAAAATTAAAATCATCAGATGTAAAATTCCAGATCACTGATTGTCAGCACTTTCATACAAATAAATTGTCTGGACAACCCGATGAGAACAAAATATTAACGTATACTGTGATAACGATTCATTTAATCATAATATGTTCATTTACCTTTATAAACCATGTGCCTTTCATTTATTCTAGAAAATATACATTGCGAAATACACCATGTGCTAGTCTTGACTTCATATTATGATTTAGTATACAGTGTATCTAAAAAGTCGAAGTCTTTATTCGAAACACGTAAAACAGGAAAAAAGGTCACTGATATAATATTTTACATAAAATTGAATAGTTCAAGTTAAAACTGGCTTTTTATTTTGAAAATATGCAAGAAAGTCACTGTGAAAAAAAATTAGTGAAAATAAATATGTTTTTATAAAACATGCATGCAGATTGCGCAAGTCAGTAACTCAGTAAGTTGTTTAATTTAATTCACTGCGTCATAAATCCCAGCTTCCCTGAAGCTGCTTGCGACAATATCTGGACGACCTATAAAATGTTCATACAGCTTTACGAGACATTTCAAATGTAAAGGTTTTACCACAGACAAAATCAGAGGAACGGGTTTGATTGTATTTGCAGATGTTGATTCGGAGCACTGTTCTAAAATCAAAGGTAGGGTTTCGATAAGGCTATTTTTTGGCCCATGATAAATTTCAAATTAATTCCTTTAGTTATGTCTAGTAATGTTTCCTCTGTCATATTTTATAATTTATTTGCAAAACCAACCTATACTAGTCACGTGACCAAGGGGTATCTAAAGGGTCCCTCTAAAAGCATCTAAGAGGGTTATGAAGATTTATTACTTGCAGAAGACTATTCATTGTGAAAAACCAAAGAAAGATTAACCATATATCATCAGAAAACACAGAACAGGGCTGAAGTAACACAAAAAGTTAACTAATTTGATATTTTTTGGAAAAAGAACTTCTGTAATTGTAGCCATAAAAATTCAATGGAAATTGTGTACGCTTTCTTATTAGACATCTTTGCTACCTATAATAACATAAAAAAGTTAATGAAAAGCAATCAGTTAAAAAAAACGTTAACAAAAGCTTTCAATATTAAGATATATCATATTTTGAGACAAATCATTTAAAATATAACTGTGCTTGCGACCCATACCTACATGTATTCCTACAAGTATAAAGTAGAAAAAAGATCTCTACGCATTATAAGTAAGTACATCGATTTAATAGTATTTCGTTTAGATTGACGCATAGGAAGTGTAAAAATCTCTTAGGCCACACCAATAAAAAATTTTGTTCGTCGGACCTGCGAGCTCGTATTTAAACAAAACTATACAAATAATATTAATATAAAATTTCCGAACAATGGAATTCTGTGCGGTCTTCTGTTCCATTTCCGCTCTATTTATCATACTTTCAATCGATTTACTCTTCAAATCAGAAAAAATATAAATGTCCGCTCATTTTTTTTTCACGTCCCGCCTAAAAATTTTGCGTACAACATAGTAATAATATTATTAATTAACCGCTTGACCGCTTGTACTTTTTTCATCAAATGTCCGACGAACAAGAAATTAGAATGGTGTGGCCTTATCAATAAATTGTATTGCAATACTAAAAATATTTTTTGCGATAAAAAAGAACTGATTCTGTAAGTGTACACTGTACACAGACATTAAAAATAATTTATATGTACTTTTTTATTTTATTTATAGATATTGGATGCAAGATCTGAGATGTGTCTTTTATCAAAATTCATTTTATATACATTAATTTGAATTCTTAAGATATATCCTTTGATTCCATGTCTGTAACGTACCCATTTTTGTGTGAAACGTATCTTAATTTTTTTTTAAAAATGTTTTAGTAATCTCATGTACATGTGCCCCTTTGAACTTGCACAAATGACCTTGGATCAAGGTGTAAAGTATTGATTCTTATGTTCCTCCGTAAAAAAAGATATGAACAGGACACGTTTGTACAGACAGATGGACGAGGTGATTCCTATACATACCCCCAAACTTTGTTTGTGGCGGGTATAATGATAAGACCACTGGTTATATTGGCAATAGATTTAGGACAGATCAAGGCACAAACTCATCAATATGTTGTAAAATTCAAATTCACATTAAGTTAAGTTAATTAAGTTGAAAGTAGCTGGTTACTAAAGGCACTGAGTTTTTGTATACAGAAAAAAAGTATGTTAAATCTGTGAAACGGCTACATACCCAAATCAAGAAACTTTGACCTTGATTTACATTAAATAATTAATATTATTTACTGTGAAACAATAATTCTGACCTTGGTCTTTATATATTGAATCTACCATCTTTAGTGTCAAAGTTTTTGGTTTTCCTCACAAACAGACACACAGGCATTTTATAATTTAATCAATTATTTCTCTTTCATGTTTGATATCATCGTATGATTTTAATACAGGCCGGTATAAAAGGACAAGCCAGCACTACTCATAAATAGTAAAACCCGCACCCTGATAGACTTTCATGAATCAATCTCACAATAAGATGTCATGCCTAAACGAAGAGTGTACTAAAATTTCAAGAATTTGCAATGAGTATTTCTGAGAAAACCGTGATGGAAATTGGTACATACAGACACACAGATAAACAGAAAGTTGACGTTGTATTCATACAAAAATAAATGTCACCTTTTGACGTGCAAAAAAAGTCCCAATCATCTACTATTAGTAGTTGCCGAAAATATGCGAAGAAAATTTGTTACAGACAGACACACAGACAGCTAGACAGAAACACAAGGGTAAAAAAGTATACAACTCTCCTTCAGAGCTAGGATGAAATTACTTGTAATATGTTTGATTGACTGGACAATGTTATAAATGTGTATGATTCACTTTAAGTGTGTGAATAAAATTAACCACAACTCAACAGATTGCAAAATTTGCAGTCATTAGTATTTAAGTGTGTGTTGCATTGCAAACCACAACCATATTTCAGTATAATGTTTCTGTACATATAAGTAATTAATTATCAAATTATGGTTTTGGTTCAGAATGCAACACATGGTGTACTAGAAGGTTAAACTTCATAACCCTCCAACATTTTCCCATATACTTAATGTTAAAGCGGTTGAGGGTATCATACTTTGATCGTTTATTCCAATATTACCCTAACTTTTTTCTCGCAAAAAAAATACACAGCACAAAATTAGACATGTTGAAAATAATGAAAGTAAGTTTAAAATTGTTGGCAATCTGATTTCATTTTTTGCAAAAAACATGGGAAAAAAACAGCCTTGTGGAAACCTCTCCTTTGTATACCATGACTGAAACTGTTTTTTCATGAAACCTTTTGCCAGTTTTTGAACGGACAGATCCATGGGTTGTAATTTGTCTGTGCAATTCGCAGGAAAAATAACTGGTATAATGGATTTCTCCTTCAAAAAATCCATTATTTCCTCGGAGATCTGCGCCCTAAATACGTCGAAAATACACAGTCTCAAGGTCATCTTTCACCTGCTCGATGTAAGGGAGGATGATCTTCTTTACAAGCCTAAATAAAGTAGGGAAGAACTTTTTTAATACCTAATATCACAATCATACATGTTTCATATTCAGTTCAGTAATATTTAATAGAACGTTTACCTGAGCCACATCTCGCCATTGGCCCAGTGATTAGGTGAGTGGGTGATATCCCACCCTTCAATAAGACTTTGGCGAATCTGGGGGTGAGATTTGTCTGTTGTTCCCTTATAGATAACTTGTGGCTTTAAGAAATGACCACTCAGTGTCCCTGCAAAAACGGCAGTTACTAGTATTTGACGCTTGTCTCCCAGCCCCGTAATTTCTACTTGTTTACTGCTCTCTTTCTCCATATTCCACTGCGATACTGGTATAATTGGGAGACCTGTACATGTAACAATTACTCTGTAAGTAACATATCGAAAAGCATGTGTCCTGTAAGAATTCTAATAATAGAGCAACTAGGTAATTGACGGTGTTTGTATAACTTAATAGCAAGTTAATTAAGAATCAGTACCTGTATGGTCCTAGTTGATTATCAATTGGTCTGGTATTTTGTGGTCCTCGACTGCCTTTTTAATGCAACAATGAAATGCTGTTTTCATTTCGTCATAATTTGTAATCTCAGGTTTAGCAGTGGAGCACCCGCGCCGTTTAACCAAACCCATTCTGTGCATAACAGACGCAGTCCAGTGCCTAGTAAGATCTATGTCCCCTCCGTGGTCTATGTGACGAGATTTGTCTTGGGACAGCAGCGCAGCATTCCCAATGGACAAGACAGTTGTAGTGTTGATTACCCCACCATTTGCTCGCGTAGCCAAAATGTAGTCTTAATCTTGTTGATCAATTTTATCTCCAAGAACAGTTTTCCTTCCACGTTTCAGGGGCGGGATTTCTAGGACAATACAATCTTTAGTAGTGTCAAGTTTCCTCTTTCGTTCATTTAATTTTTTGACATATTTATACCCCCCGCTTCACCCCCCGCTTCAAAAGCGGGAGGGTATATAGTAATCGTTAATTCCGTCCGTCCGTCCGTCTGTACGTCCGTCCGTCCGTCCGTCTATTACGCTTTGGGGTACCCATCTCTTATCCTCAACTCCCCTTAAACCACTGAGTGAAATTTAATGAAACTTTCACAGAATCTTTATTACATATTGCCATTGTGCACCTCCTATTTTATTTTTTGATCCGACAAATTTTTTGGGTTTCCCGGCCACCGCAAAACATGGGCTTTGCCATTATAATCATATTTGAGGCGGGGGGTATCATTTAGTGAGCTCATTGCTCACAGTACCTCTAGTTTGTCTTGAAATTACGCACGGTGCATTCTGAAATACCTGGGAAATCGGAGGAAAATTTCCTCAGAGCTTTTAGTGTTCCATTTTCACTCGCATATCTGCCAATAGCGTGATCGTTGTCACTAAATTTTATATATTTTCCTCGTTTTGGGGTTTTTTGGAGAAGTCGCAACTGTGGCAACAGATTTATTGACGGCTTTAATCACCTCCCGAGGAATTGTTTCACTTAGAGCTCCGTTCGGGTTCGGTATTGAAGATTCTGGTTTGAAAAAGCTTCGTATCCCCTCCATAGTTTTTGACACAATGGATCAAATCTAACAACTTAGTTCGTATGATTCAAAAAGTGTTCAAGACTGAATAAAAGGAATGTAAAGATCATACAATGTTGAAAATCTACGCACGTCGATTTTTTACTTCTGTGAAATTTTACGCGTTTAAATCTTACGGATTCATAAAACACGTAAAAATTAGTAAAAATTAGCAGCAAGTAAAAAATACCCGTTATACGGTATCTCTTGTTTGTGCTAAACTTACCCAAATCAGTCGAATAGTGTGCGAGGTCTTACCTTAAATCTCTTGGATGGCTTGGAAGAAAAACATAATCAGTGGAATAGTTCTTATATGTAACAATTGAGCGGTATGCAAGTACTTACTTTAATATCTATAGTGGGTACAAGCAATAGGCAAAATTAGTCAAATTGTTGTCGAGAAAAAATTCCTTATTGATGTTTTTTGAAAGAGGCAAATTAGCGTCACCGATTGAAGTCGGACTATTGAGAAATCATAAACGCCCCATCGGACCTTGGGGAATTAGAGCATCGCACTTTAGCGAATCGCATCTCGTTTAATTGAAACGAGATGCGATATGACATTGGTCTGACAATTGGACCATGACGTCCGTAAAGACCTTTAGCTATCGATGTTCGGCGCAGACCATCGTATTTTGGCGACTCCATCACCCTTTGACGTGACCATCGCATTTGGAGTCTTACATACCTAAATAATACTTTTTCTTTTATAAAATTTTATGACTCCTTCTTTAAAAGCTTAAGTTTATCATAACGAAAAAAGACAACTATTAAGACACTAGTCTACCTATCAGTAGAAAAAAAAATTAATACCATTTATCAGTTATATAAAATTGTAATCAATTCATTAAACCTTTAATTTCTTAATTCTGGTGAATTTTATTACTTACAAAAAATGCTTTTAAGCAATTAATACGCTTCATTTTACTATGATGCGCGAAGTATTTCACAATTGAAACCCTAGTAGGACCCTTAAATAAACATTCTGAAAATAAATTATGGAAAATATCGGTTTGATATTTTGCATTCAATTTCAGGTAAATATTTTACCTCCAGCCTATTTGTGGTTATTACATTAGCAGTTCTGGCTGTGGTATCTCTTTTATCAATAGTACTGAATATAGGTCTCTTCTACAGTTTACGAAAAAGGTAGAAAAATAAACTTAACCTTAGTTTAAATTCATTTTAACACTTTTAGACTCATGATTTCTTCCTATAATTTTAAAATGGAAGACGTTTGATATATGACTGATCAGTTAAAAAAATATACCATATAGGCTACATGTATAAATGTATGCAAAAAAATTGCAGGCAAGATAAAAAAAAAACGTTTCAGATTGTATGATTTTGTGACAATCAAATCATTCCTCATTTGTATATCTTTTTATAAATTTTAGAAAATGCAACCTCAAGAGTACTACACAAATGTATGCAAACCTGGATACCAGCAGTCAGTCACAAGAAGATCACAGATACGATTCATTGCAAAATCCAAATTACCTAACTTTATTTTGACGCAGCTTAAAATTTCTTACCCGTTTTCCCTATTTCCCTTTTTTTGTTTTGATAAACAAAGCATGAAAAAGAAATTTTGGATTCATTAAGTACGTGTTTGGCCCTTTCTTTAGTGTATTTTTTGTCCAGAATCTTAAAAGAAAAGAAAAAAACCTTCTGTCGCCTCATTGGCGTCGGAAGCAAATTGAAAGTTGGGGGGCTAGATGTAAAAAAAAATTTTTATACCTTCTCAAAAAACCTGACAAGCAATAAAAAAAAGAAAAGTAGTGTCAATGTCCCAAACTCAAAAATCCTATTTCGTGGGGGGGGGGGGGGGGGTGTATTCGAACTTGAGTACCAAATTTTTTTTCCATAGACCACCTTTTTCCAATTATTTACCTATATTGCGATGTGTCTGTGGAAAGTGGGAGGCTGAAGTTTTCGAAGCAATGTTCAATGTCTATACTATGTATATGCTTGGAAAAAAAGTGGGGGGCTAAGTCTATACTAAGTATATATTTGGGAAAAAAGTGGGGGGGCTTAGCCCCACTATTCCCCCCCCCCCGGTTCCGACGCCTATGCGCCTGTTGTAAAAAAGTAACACCCATCAAGCCACGAATCCTGTTTTCACTTAGATACAAAACTGACTTAGTGTTTCAGCGGTCTATTTACAGGCTAGCAAATACAAAATATTCCTACTAACGAATTATGATTAGTTATGTAAGTCCTCCATCATCAGCAATCCACCTATATACGAGGGGTTATCAAAAAGTTCGTAGACTGAGGCTATAAAATTGGAACTATGTAGTCTGTCCCTTTAAATTCTAAAGTAAAATAAAACAACATTGTTTTTCAATGTCCGCCTCTTCCACCTCATACACTTATTTTGATGAAATTCCCTTGAGCTGAGTAAAGACAAAACCCTGCCTTGCTTAATTAATGACTTTACATTGCATGAACAGTGGCTTTCAATGAATATAATATTCCAAATAAATATCTACATTCGGAGAGATCCTCGCTTGATTATGCCAGCATATTTTGCTTTTGGGAGTTCAATATCAACAACACATTATCAACTTCATTTTTTGACGTGATTGATTATTTCATACCTTGACTACAAATCGACATTAACTATACATTCTTCTCAGTTTCTCTCCGAATCTATTTTGACATTAAAATACAAGTGCTCTGAATTCATATTATTTCTTTCTAGCCAGTTTAAACATTTCTTAGATGTATACCAGTTTTTTAGGGGGCAAAACCTTTTAGAATGTTGGAAAAGGAAACATTCCCCCTTTTGACGTCATTTTCAAGGCTTTACTTGTTTGGACACTTCATGTAAAATTTACGACAAAATTTTATAGAACTTCCAAAATGAAGTAAAAATTTCATATCTCATGGAACAATTGTGTCCTAACAAACACCTGAATTAATGGGATTTTTGGATGTCAAATGATCATCTCAAAAGAGTTTTTCTCAGTCACTCGTAGGTCGCAAAAACGTCATTTTGGAGGTTGCGCCGACTGGACATACCTTTGCTTACAAAAACATTACTAATTTATTGAAAATTGAAATTTATGATTTATGGTTTATTCTTTAGATAGAAAAGATTATGCTGAATAGATATTTCAAACTTCACTAATGTAACAAAAGCAGTTTTAATTCTATGGCGCTAGTTCACAAACTTTCTGATAACCCCTTTTATCTTGAGATATGTATATTCATTTTATTCGCTTTTTTGTATATTGTAATAATTGTTATTGTTGTAAATTTTTTTTAAGTTTAGAACCGGTGAGGGAACTTCCCAAGTCATGCCATGTTTATATAATAAACATAGATAAAAGTTGTCTTTCTAAATAAATATGCAGGAATTCTACAATTATTTAAATGTATCTGAATATAAATATGACAGCACATGATCTGGTTCACTATTTCCTAACTTTTGTTTGGAGATCTCCTGAACACCTGTGTGTTTTATATTCTATAATTGGGTGTTCTTTGAATATTTCTTAGAGTTTGGGTTCCCTTGATAGAGTGTGCCAGTATTTCAGTAATTTCATTTTGATATTGCATATGTATTTTGTACTTTGTAGCCATGACCAGTGGTATATCGGAATTATTGTTTACTTTCTTGTTTTAATGTAAATGGTATCCTTTGTAATTTTCAGAACATTATTCATTGAACAGTTTATCTGATGTCATTATATCCTTTTTTCAATAGAATAATTTTTAGCTTCTCGATAGCATTTTAAAGAAATTTGAGTCGCTTGTATTGCATAAATGATGAATTATTTCGCCTTAGATGATTACAATATAAACTTGAAGATTAGTTCGATTATAGATTAAATAATTAATTTGATTTACCCGATGTCAAATAGGACAATTTTATTGATAAAATCTCCCTTGACGCCTCTGGTATTTTAATGAAAATCTGACAACACGACACCACTGGCCTGTGTACTAGAGGGAATTTATCTTAAAAATGAAAAATAATACATTGTCACCACTTATGAAATGGAATATCAGCTGCAATCCTTATCTTTAAAATAAGGATATTGATATTTTCTTTCAAGTCTTTGGAAGGAAAAAAACTGATGTTCTGAAGAAGGAATTCATTCAAGAATCCATCAATTTTTTTAAGGTAAAAATTGAAGTTGGATTTAGCCCGAAACGAGCTGAATGTTCGGATGAATGCGAGTAAGAAAAAAAATTACAAGGAACTTTTGCAATTCTGCACTTAAATCAGGGCCTAGCAGAAACAGGGAGCTGAAAAACAAAAACCTCGTACCAGTTCCTCATATAGAGGAGGCAAAGGAAAAAGACATACAGGGCGACAATTTTCGCTTTCCCTTACTTAGTGACTATAGTGTCCTTTCAAAATGTATTAAAATTTGAGTGTATCACTGATGAGTGACTTAACTGATGATCGCTATCCTACATGTAAAGTGACTATAGTGTCTGATTATTATAATTTGAGTGTATCACTCTTAAAACAAACAAACTGATCCCTATGGGAATAATTACATTTCCAATGTCTTTGTCCAAGATAAAATTAAAAAAAGTAAATGTACTTTATTTCCTCATCAATGTATATTGATTCATCAATAGGTGCGGTTAAAGAATCACGTGCGAGGCGGGACAAATAGCTAGACAGAAGCAGGGCTGTGAGCACGTGGATTGGCGGAATCAAGGCATATAAATATAGGGCATAACTGTCAAATTTTTCAATTTCATGACGATGTTCAATCGATTGGCTTGCGTGATAATTTTATGCATTGGCGTTTATGCAAATAGTCATGCAAGCCAATCGATTGATCACATCATGAAATCGAAAAAATAAGACAATTCTTCCTCAAATTATTCATTTCTTCAAACTGTCATTCGCTTATAACTGCATGTACATGTGTACATACTGTAACAATTATGTTCTGTGAATTATCAAAGAATAAAATATTCATTTCATTTTGAATTTAGAATATTATTGATATGCTCTTTTGTAATGGTTTTTGTGTCTTCAATTTTCTTATTGGATAGTTCAACATGAGTGCATCTGAATTATTCCATTATAATTAAGGCAAACAGGATTTGTATGCATGCTCTGTCGTTGGTTTTTACCACGCGCAAAGGGTTGCTCACATTTTCACATACATAGCCAACAGAATTGCACGTAGTTTCGATCGAAACATCAAAAGAAGAATACGATCTATCAGTGCTATAAAATACTTAGCCCGAAACAATAAAAAAGTTTTACTCGATTTTCTTAATGCAAGACAACATGTTTTAAATCTGACCAAAAACAAATCAAAACATAGTGAATTCTTATTGCTAGGAGTGTAATTCATCCCAAAATCTTCGACAATAGTCACAAAAAACTACTTGAGGACAGATGATACAAACAAAAATGGATGCCTGGATTGGTATAAACTTTTCCTCACAGCAATATTAATAAAACATGTACAAAAGACACCTGCATAATTCTTTTCATTTCTTTTTGTTTTCTGATTTTTTTTTACCTAAATGTTACCTAAATATTTGTGTTAACTATGTAATAGCGCCTGTGTAAAACCTGTTAACCAAAGTATCTAAAGTTATGTTATATGTGCCAATATATGCAATGTATAAGCCAATAAAAATACTACTATATATTTTTGGGCCCGTTTTTATTCAAAATGATGTAAAAAAAATTCTAGAATATAAAGAAATTGTTAACCTTCTATGGTGTGTAAAAACCATCTGAAACCATCCTTATTATTCCATACAAATATTTCTCACTTCAAATCCCATTTTTGTAAAAATTAAAACAAAAAATTAAAAACTTCGCGGTAAAACTTTTTACACATTTAAACATGACTCAAATTTTCAAATTGTTTGAAAAAAAGTTTGTTTGTATCATCTGTCCTTATCGAAGATTTACAAATCCTCAGACAAAAACAGGTATATTACCAGTGAAACATATAGAGATAACGAGCAGTATTCAAGATCAAAAGTATGCATTTGCTCACACAGTCTCGTTTTTGTTTTTTGTTGTTTTTTTTTTTCATTCATGACAATTTTTAAACTTTTTCTTTTAAGGATTGTGAACGAATTTAAAACTATAAAACTATAAAACTCTTTGAAAAAAAATATTCGAACATTTAAAACAGGGCTAAGTTAAATGCTAGGATAATTTATTATATAAAATTGGACATCTAGAACTGACATAACAATGAAAATTATTTTAAAATATGTATCCTTTTACAATTTCAAAGCGTTATCATGTTACACAAAAATTCTCCTATAGAAAGTGCGCAGAAAATATGAAACATATACGATAAATCAATAAAAAGGTTAAATCTTGGTTACATTGAAATAGCTGAGTTTTAAACTTTTTCTTGATTTCAAAGTTGTTACTTAAATTAAGACCAATGTTCCTTTCAGCGTAAAATTTGCACTCTTGTTAGGTTAATAAATGTACATGTATTTACATCCTTTTTCCGTTTCAGTTTCAGAAATCTGGGACACACACTCTTGAAATAGCCCGAAGTGATTGTAAATAACCATTCGATAATGGTACTGTAGACCTTTACTTAGAAAATAGGCGTTTAAACCTTTTCACATGACCAAAGTTGAAAAAATGTATATGTTACGTATGGATCACTTGGTTTTTTACAAATGGGTAAACCTTATTTTGATAATTTCTCTAATTTTTCATTATTTAACAAGTGAGGAACATCATTATAATCCAAAATACACATCTGCCTATTAACTTAAAAGTATCATTTCATATTTCTAGAGAATCAATACCTTTGACAACGCTCAATACGAAGAAAAGTACGGGAGATTTTGAAGGTATTTTGTTTTATAGATCAAATTAATAATCATAATATAAACAACTGTTAAAACAAAGTAAAATTAGCATAAATTCATCGTCATTTTAAAATTTTCACAGGGTTTAAAATCGGTTACATTGATGAAAACCAGCACATTCAGTGTCCATTTCCTTCCTTTGGTGTTAATTGTAATTCTGAATGTTCTTGTGAGAAGGAAAATTGCCACCATGTGCATGGATGTTCCGTGAATGCGGAAGGTATTGTTATGTTTATTTAAAATATTTAAATTAAAAACGACAGATTTCACCAAAGTTCTAAAAGAAAGTACAGGTAATACTGACATTCAAAAAAATACTACATTTTATCTATGTAGGTTCATAGTTATACCATGATTTAAAGAACTTGCTATTTATAGATTGTCCCCATGGGTATTTTGGAACTTCATGTGAAAAACCTTGTCGTTATCCAAATTATGGGAAAGATTGTCAGGGGAAATGCAACTGTAGTTCACAACTCTGTAATAATACTTAT